GAGTCTTAATTATTCAGGATAATCAGAATATTACTGACCATATAAACAGACCTCCCCAGAGGAGCTAACAGGCAATCTAACGCAAATTAATACCTCAGATCAGTGCCACTCAAATTACTATCTTGTAGACAACCTCCTGTAAGCCAGTACTCAACTGTAAACAAAGGGGTTTTTTATACATCAGCCACCCAAGAGAGATGCATCTCATCTTTGATGTATAACGTGATCTTAACCCCACAATTCCCTCAGAATTCACTACTCAAATATTTTATTTTTAGAACAGTAAACCCTACGTAACTGCCAAAAATTCAACTAGCTCAGTGTTACACAGCAAGGTTCTTCCACACAAAAAAGTAAGATTTGTTCAGCTGTCACATTAAGTATTTAACCCAGTTTTCCGACCTGTTAATTTTTCATTAGACATTTCTGTACCAAACGGGAGCCGTACACGCCATAAACCCAAATAACGCCACGTTTCTCGGCGTCGGGAAAAATATTCCCGCGGCTTTTTCCGTAGCCTAAGTTGGAGATTATTTACAACCCGGCACGAGTGCAGCCGACAAGGGCACGGTTATTCCTGTTCCCAGCGGCCCGTGTTTATGCTGAGGAGAACTCGCACTTCGGGTTCCACCGCGCGCTCCCGATTGAACCCGTCCTGGTGCTGCCTCCGCGGGCCTGCCGGGTGAGCCAGCCCAGCCCCACAGAGCCTCTGCGGCAGCAGGAGCTTGGCAGAAAGATGAAATAAAAGTATTCCGAGAAATACCTCAGTCTGCAAAAGCCTCGGGCCTGACAGCTCTGGAGACTGGGAGGAAGAGTTTCACACTCGGTTGTCTCCTGCCTCTCTTTAAAGAGCATCACGTTTGGGGGCTGGAAAAAGAACGGAGTTTCTCCTCCCCCACCTCCCCTGGGGGGTGAACTCTGCTAACCCAGTGCTACACCAATCGACACACTTGCTGGGGACTTTTTTTTTTTTTTTTTTGAAGTTCAGAGGCATTTTTTTCCTTTTAGTTTTTCCTGCACCTTGCCCGCAAAAAAATGGACAGGGCATGGTTTCTGTTTCACATTATTACAGACCCAGAAAGTGCCCTTCTCCTTAAAAAATAAAGAGATAAAAGGGTAAGAACAAATATGTTTGAATTTCAAGATATTTCCAGAAGCTGCTAGAGCTTACAATTAAGCTGATTTGAGAAGGAACAGCATTTAGTTTCAGAGGTATCCATAGATATCTGATCCTTCAGCTCTAGTTAGACTGCCCCTCTAAGTGGCTTTGGTACTCAGAGATCCCCACTCACCACTTCCTTAACACTTTTAAAAAAAAAAAAAAAAGAAACCAACAAATAAAAACTCCCCCAAAGTTCTGACTACCTTGAATTGTTCTTGTGCCCAAATGGGGGCAAGCACATGTCAATACAAAACCAGCTCCTACACTAATTTCCTGGTGACCCAGCTCAATATTTCATTAGCAAAGGCACAGTGGAGCCACGTAGAATTTGGGAGAGAGAAAAAAACCAAACACATAACAAGCCCAATCTAACCTGAAGTTGTATTTTGTGACTGTCGTTGGATGCCCCTTCTGTGAGAGCATTATCAGCACCCAGAACACGCCACTGGAGCTGAGAAGCACGTTTTATCCATGGTGCTGTGGTCCCAGTTCCCTGCTCCAGTTACAACACAAACCAGCTGGCTCCCCAAAAAAATTAAAAAAACAGAAGCCTGTCTTCATACACTTACTGGAGCAACCTGGGATTGTGTTGTCAGGTCTGGTGTTTTGATAACACCTATTGTTTTGTCTCACTGACAACCAAGCAGCCTCAGCAGCTGACCTACACCTTCACAAAGTGCTCAGGAATTAAAGCAGCTCATTAAAGTGCTCGGTGCCACAGACACCTCCTTTCCCCATAACGCCTTTATTAAGAACCATATTAACAACCAAAGCCTATGAGAGACCAAAAGGGAACCACTCTGAGAACTACTGGTTTACATTCCCTCCTCCTCCTGCCATTGTTTTTCTCTCTTGGCTTTGGAAAGAGCTATCCAGGGTCTCACAATTAAGGAATTCTTATATTCCTCAACTGCTCCACCATTATAGGGGTTTCAGACTGCCCCTTCAACCTCCCTCCTCTTCTGGGTGCCCTGCTCCAAATCCAACAGCTCCAGCCTCAGATCCCTTGTCAAATTAGCATTATTGAAGCACAAGCGAGTGATCTGGAGCAATTTAAACTCATTTAGATCACAGAACTCCCATCCCCTGCCTGTTTGCTGTCCTCCAAAGCACACCAGCAGGTACAACCCCCTGACTCACCACACTGGATACAGGCAAAAGCTGCAAGGAGCAGAGACACGGAGGGACCAAACCCACCAGGGCAAAAAACACCACAGTGCTGACTTTGGGTTTGAGGTAGAACAAGCAGGGTGGGTGTAAACAAAGGGACACATTGGAGCAGCTCAGACTTGGAAAAAGACAGTGAGCAGCAGGGAAGGGAGATCAGACATCATGAAGCTCAGTCTCTGCACTGTGACTCCAAGCAGCCTGCCATCTGAAAATCCAGTGTCAGCCCAGGGCAGCTCAGGTCAGATGTCACTCAGTTATCGCATGTGGAAGAAACTATTTTGTTTCTCAGGTCACTTAGTCCACGTAGGACTTTGGAAGAGCTCAAGACTCTTCTTCAATACTCACCCTACTTAAATATGCACACTCACAATCACTTTTAATGTGGTTTCAACTTCTTTAAATACATGTAAAAGGATACCAAAGGCACTAATATGACTTAAAACACAAAAACCCCCCAAGAGCTGCATGGAGCAAGCAAATGGTTGCAGTGCTTGAGTCAGTACAATGGAATCAGTAACAGGGGCAGCTGGAAAAGCTCACCAGTTTTTACCAGAACACACAAAGCCTTCAAGAAAAGAGTGAGCAGAAAGTTAAACACAAGTTAACCCCAGTTATCTAACAGTCTACAAGTCTACTTACATATCCAACCCCCCTATGCTCACACAAGGTCAGAAAAGTCACAACAGAAGCTGAATACTTACTATTGAGAGACTCCAGCTAAACGTCAAACTTCTTTTCAGTTGAAGCACAACTAGTTGGTTAAAACAGAAATTCCAGACAGCTGAACAACTATCCTAGGGTACCAAATGCTCGATTTTATCAAGTTAGAAAGTAACTATTCCACACTGCTGCTTCCTTAGACAGATCATTTATGGCAAAGAGAATCTTCACGTCACATGCAGCCATGAGCTCCTGTAGTAAGTGTACACCCAGAAGAACTCTGAGCTTATCTGAGCGTGCAGACACCTCACCGAGTGTCACCAACAACTCCAGCAGTTGCTAAGGCATTAACAGGTGCATGCAGATGTTCACGAGTGTGGCCACAGGATGAGATTTTAGCCACAGCATGAGAGGGTTTGTTGTTTGTGGGGTTTTTTTCCAAGAGTGCCACCTTAAAGGGGTAAAACATCCTGTGCTGGTCGTTAATTACATTGAAGTTTCTCAAACTGATCGTCAGCTAAAACCAGAAGACAGTGCTGGAGACGCACAAACACATCATCCAGCTCGCTGTGCCCGGTTATGCAACCTCACCTCCTTACTGCTAACAACGCTGCTTTCCACCCTTAGGCTTTCAGCGACATGACTGGAGTCTCAGGCCAAAATCCTCCTCCGGGAATTCCTGTGCCACCCAGTGACCCCGTCCCTTTGTACGGCCACTCCGCCAACTCCAGCCAGCGCTGGAACTGCCCGAGTCTAGGTACACCTAGCACACATTTCCTTATCTGGCTATGAAGCAATTTTTTACGTAAGGGACGAAAAAGGCGATCCGATTCTTCCCAAGGTGCCGGGCGGACCTGTGCGCCCGCCCGGCGGGGATGGCGGTGCCGCGGGGGCGCAGCGGGCGGGGGATGCGGGGACATGTGCGAGTGGGGGAGGGCTGGAGGGAGGGAGGGAGCGCTGGCGGCGCGTTCCCCTTTAAGTGTGGCAGCGCACACATGGAGCCGCATTGTGCGGCCCCGCGCATGCGGCTCCCCTCGGCGGGGCCGGGCCGGGCCAGCTCGGCCGCCCGCCCGGGGACAAAGGGAGGGGGCGCGGCGACACCGAGCCCGGCGGACACCCCGCGGACACCCCGCTCCCCTCCGCGGCCGCCGCCGCCCCGGCCCTGCCCGGCCCCCGGCCCGCTCCCCAACTCCTCCTCCCCCGCGCCCGGACCGCCCTCTCGCCCCCGGCGGACCCCGCCCCTCCCCGCGGGTCCCCCCGCGGCGGTCCCGCCGCCCCTTCCCCCGAGCCATCCCGCCGCTGCCCCGGTGCTCTGCCCCCGCCGCTCCTCCCGACAACAAAGCGGGGCAGCGGCCTCCCCTCCCGGCTCGGGAGGCGAGGGGAGCCGCGGGGGAGGCGGGACGGGGGCAGCGCAGGTCCCCGCAGGAAGGGGTGCGAGAGCGGGACGGTCACCCGGGCCCGGAGTACTGGGGGGGGATCCTCCTTCCTCCGCCTCTCCGCGGGGCCCCACAAACACTCACAAACGTCCCCCCGCGCTGCGGGACGAGCTCCGCGTCCCTTCTCCCCCCCGCCCCGGGCGGACGGGGCCGCAAGGGGAGGGCACGGGGAGCGTTCGGGGAGCCCCTGCCAGGCTCGGGACAGGGGGGGCCCGGTGCCACCCCGCGCTGCCCCGGCGGGACGGGGGCAGCCGAGGGGACGCTGCCCCGCCATGCCGGCCCCGCTCCCCTCCCCGGCTCCCTGGCAGCGATCGCCGGCCCGGCTCCCCCTCCCCCGCTCGGCCTAGTTCCCTCGGCTCCCGGCTGGGCTCGGCGCGGCGAGGGGGGGCCGTAATCTCCCTTCCCCTCTCTCTCTCTCTCACACACACACACACACACCGCCACCCGCCCCCTCCCCGAGCCGGCGCCCCTTCCTTCCCCCGCCGCGGGCCGCGGCCCCTCCGAGGCGGCCCGGCCGCCGCTCCCCCGCGGCGGATGGCCCGCCGCCCTCCCTCCGCCGCCGGCCCGGCTACCTGCTAGTTGTCTCCGCAGTAGCAAGGCAGACTGGAGCTCCGTCATTCTCCCCCGCTCTGCCCGGGGAGGGAGTCCCAGCGGCGGCGGGGACGGCGCGGCTCCTGGCGCTGCGAGAGGAGGCGGCGGCGGCGAGCGTCGCTCAGCCCGCCCGCTCCGCGCCCGCCGGGGGTCTGGCTCGGCGCCGGCCGCCACAGCACGCAGGGTCCCGGGCAGGGCAGCGCGGCCGTGGCTCCGAGCCGCCCTCCTCCTCCGAGCCCTCAGCGCCGCCACCTCCTGCTCCCCCCGCCAGGAATTTCACCGCACTCGGCGCCGCGCAGGCGCGCCCGGCCCTTCCGCGCCGCCATCTTGAGAGGGGCGGGCGGGCGGCGGGCGCGTCCGGCCGCCATGTTGGGAAGGTCCCCGCCCTCCCCCTCCCCTCAGCCCGGTCTGAGGGCGAGCGCTGCCTGAGGGGAGTGTCCTGGCCGAGGACGTCTGTGGCCGTACAGTAAATCACAAGTAGTTTCACCCTAACAATTCTATGATTCTGTGCGTGTCCTCATGAGAGACAGTTTTAGGACGAAATTCTCCCCTGTGAGTGAGGCGAGGCCCTGGCACAGGTTGCCCAGAGAAGCTGTGGCTGCCCCTGGATCCCTGGAAGTGTCCAAGGCCAGGTTGGACGGGGCTTGGAGCAACCTGGGCTAGTGGAAGGTGTCCCTGTCCATGGCAGGGGATGGAACGAGATGATCTTTAAGGTCCCTTCAAACCATAACATATTTTTCTCCGATTCTGTGAGGGGTACAGCGCTGGTGGCTGCTGTCCTGGCTGTCTCTGCCAGCACCTCTGAGGGCAGAGGGATTCTCCAGAGGGACAGCTGGCTGGACACGTCTGCCCTCAGGACAGTAAGTAAGAACAGCTCTCTGGCCACTGTCTTTCCTCAGAGCCCTCAGACTGCTGCCATCTCCCAACCCACTAAAATACAGGAGGTTTTGAGCAGGAGGACGTGCCCAGGGGAGAACAAAAGGGGGATAAAAGGCCTAAATCAACCCTTATACTTGTGAAGGGGCTCTCCTGCATTAGTGTATCCCTGGAGGACAACCTAGGCTTGGGTTTGGATCTCCAGCAAACGCCTTCAGAAAAGGGGCTTTTTGGGAGATGACTACAAGTCTGAGGACAGGCAGTGCTCAGGGAAAGAGCTAGAAATTAAAATAGTTTATCCCAAAGAACTAAGTAAATAGCCAGGGGAGGCCTGACAAAAGTACATGTATGAGCATGTGTTGACTGTGAAAAATATCCTGTGATAAATAGGTGTGTGAGATTCTAAAATGAAAGGTATGGGCTGCTTTGCATCTCTCTCATAGTCTTTCAGCATCCTATTGGATTCTCCTAATTTTACATTTCAGTTCTCAAGTAAATGGAGTTTCTGGCTAATTGGATGAACCATTATCACCAGTGACAGAGAGCAGGGAACTCCCGGCTCTACTGCAGAAAGAAATTACTACAAAGGGATTTATCCCTTATCAGTGTGACAAAATGTTCAAACCCTTTATGCAAAAGCAGCCCTCTTTATTTTTTCTACTACACGGGGCTTATTTTGTTTGTGAACACCAAACTCGACTTGCAAGGAAGGAAACAGAAGGAGCCTACGAGAGAGATGTTTTTGGCTGGCACTGCTGAAGTCATTTCCCATGCTGCAGTTTGGAAGGCCCAGTACAGCCTGAGAGTTCCATTACTGTGCTGGTACAATTAATCAGAATACTATTCCCAGATATTCTTGCAGTTCTGATTAAATCTGTGTCCTTTTCAATGATTAAGCTAGGATGACAGAAGACATTCCACAGTGTATGATACCATTGCCACAATTCATCTCACGAGGGTGTTCTTAGCCAAAGAAAGTCTTTGTGAAAGCCTTTCTCCTTTGGAGGTTGACTCCAATTCCTGAATACATTTTGTATTTGTATTTTGTATTGCTCCAGTCGGGTTCATTCAGTCTTGAAAACCATCTATCCATTTATACATAGAAGGCTCTCATGTGCCAGTGCATTTTGTAAACTTATTATGCTAAGAGACACTCACCCAGATTGGAATTCAGGCGTGTTGATGGGAAGTGACACTATTGTGGATGGTAGTTCTCTTTCAGGAATAAAAGGTAGGCTTTCTTCACTATGTCAGTTAAGCCAGCACTAAATTCACTCGCTCAACTTTCTGTACCTGATGTCAGTTCAGGCATGAGTACACTTTCTGACAGCTCTATTAATAGAGGACCTAACTACAGCACTGAAGACTGAAAGGTTATATGAAACAACTCTATTTCTATTACATTCTGTTAATCAAAATCACCCTGAATTCTTCACCATCAGGTCACTCGGTGGCAATCATCTGAAAGGGAGTTTTCTGTGGTCTCCTGCACCTTGTGTATGAATTTCCTTGTAAGGAACACAGAAGGCCGTGGGCTGGGAAAGAAAGGACTCGGTTTAAGCTGGCACAACTGACCTGGATTCCTTTATTCTGGCAGCAGATTCAACCCTAGTTTATAAAGGAAGTTTGTTTCAGTATAGGAAGCATTGGCAGCTTGAAGTGCTGTAACTTTCCTCTGTGAAATCACCTTGTGTGCAGCTGCAAACTGCCCAGTGGGGAGGGCAGGTGTGTGACCGGGGCACACACGAGTTTAGTGTTTCCTTGCCCCCCTAAAGACTCCGTGGAATCCCATCATGAAAATGGAGCTGTCCTGCCACAGCAGAGAGAGAGCTCTGCTGGCTCACAGGTCATGTTGCCTGTCCTCAAACACACCGGGCTGTCTGATGAGGGAGAAGCCTTCCCTGCTGGATGGAGGATCCTCTGTCCTGCTCATATCTGCTTGCTGTGCTGCCCATGCACAAACACCTTCCTTCTGTTTGCTGAAACATGCAGCACATTTGAGGAACAGATCTCAAGATAAGAGAGATTGTTTTCCTGAATTTGTTTTATTCCTGTCTCTGGCATGCAGCCTCTGTGCAAGCATCTCTCCCATCTTTGCATTGAATGGAAGGGCAATAAGAATTTAGATTTCTTTCCTTTTTTCTCGTCTAATGACTGTTCAGCTCTCACAGCCATTTGCTGTGGTCCTTACTGCATTAATCTTTTCCTTTGGCAAGGCTATATTATCATAATCATTCATGTCATGGTTAGAATAGGAAATCCTGGAACTTTTTCTGTCACCTTAAAAAGGATCAAGGTTTCAAATTCAGCATCCTGCTTTGCCTCACTGTGATGTCTTCCGTTTGACTTTCTCCCCCAGTTCCTCCCTCACGACACAAATCACAGATTACACTGGTACATAGTTTCTGTTAAGTGGAGCCTTCCAGCTGGATTCACACTGTTAACATCATCTGCTCCCCGGCTTCAGCTTCTTGGCAAACTCAAAAAGCTGATGGTAAGATAGACACAGCTCCCTGCTCATGTTCTGCAATGTTCCTCTCATTTTACATGCTGGAGTCACTGAAGAGACATTTGAAATGGCAGCACCGTGAGGTATCAGTTTTTAGGCTTAAAACCAGTCCCTGTCAGGCAAACAGAGACCATTTCTATGTCCATTATTGCATTTGCAGGCTTGGGTTTCTCACAGTTTATATTTAGCAAACAAGTTGTTTTCTTAACAGTAAAGGCTGAGTGTTTTTAAAGGCTTACATTCAGGATTGAAATTGTCACCAGGACATAGGATCAGTTTGCTGGGCAGTTCTGTGTTCCAGCCTCCCCCCTTGCACTTGGTTTTGCTGTGCATTCACTGATATAGAAGTAGTTTTTTCTAAGGAGTCTCTCTTTTGAACAAGCTTGGACTGAGTTTGCACGTGAGGAGTAAAATCTAAATTAGCTCTTCATGTATTGTATGCAGAGGTAGCATGGCCAGTACCATGGATGGGCATCATAAAGAGCAATGCTCTGAGAGTTCCTTGCGAGGAGAGAATTTGGGAGGAAAAGGAGGCAGCAATTCACTGTATTTTGGGTTCGATTCACAGCTCCCTGCTGGCCTGAATAAGAGCATAACAAGGACTAAAAGCTGGTCTGTTCCCAATCCAGTGTGACCTATAAATAAAGCAGGGACTAAACCTGGGCTGAACACATCAGTCTGGCCTCAAGTATTTGTGTTAAGTTCAAGGCTACTCCTACATAACAGGTTCAAAAGTTTAACTGTTACTCAAACGTTGGGCTCATGTTTCACTGGGAAGTGGGTGTGTGGAAAGAAGCGGGATTTCCTGGAAAAATCTGGACCAGTGAATCAGTAGCATGGCAAACAGAGAGAAGCCTGGGGCAGGAACTGCTGCAGCTGCTCCAACACATCTCTTCAGAACCTGCCTCTGTGCAGGGCACGATGAAAACCTTGGTACTGACTTGTATCGTGGCAAGGCTCAGCTTCTGCAGCTGGGATCAGAGCCCTGCTGGCTTTACACTAATCCTCCAGGATCTCCTGTGCAGGGAAGGCTCTCCATCTTCCCTACCAGTCCAAACAGGGTGGACGTGCATGGCAGTCCATGGTGCTAAAGTGCCTTGCCCAGGATACCAGAGCAAGCCCTGGAGCCAGAAATAGGAGCTGGTCCTGACTGCCATTCCCTGATACCTGAAACCACAATGACTGTAATGTTCAAACCTCCCCATGTGTCTGTCTGTCATTCCTCAATAAATCCAGCAGTATTCCCACTGGGTCACAGATAAAGGTTTGGGTTGTGGTGTGGAACGTGGAGAGTGATTCCTTGAACCAGGGAGAGGGGATGTAGGTGTACACTGAGTTGTTCACTGAAGGCTGACACCTGAACAAAGTGTTTTGGCCTGACTTTTGGGTAAGACTTGAGGTGTGAATCAGCCTTGACAGGAATGGCTGTGTTAAAACAGTCTCAGGAACTGCAGGAAATCCTTATGGATTCTTATGGCGGTGTTGACTCAGGCTTTTGGCAGGAAGGTGCTGTTTAAGAGCTGGGTAAACCAGACTGACCTTGTTCCAAACTTTATTTGGATAAGCTTAAACTATTACTTAAACTGATAGTGTTCCCAGCTGGGAAGTGGAGACAGGCCTGCTCATTAATGGCAGCAGAGGGTGAAATGACCCCTGAGAGGGGGTCACTTCGCACAACATGGACATAATTTCTTCAGAATTGGACTTCTTCCCTTGTTATTAGTGAGAAACAACATCAAAATAAAACTGCAAACAAAAGCGGCAGAAATGAATGACGAGAGACTGTGTTGAGTGCCAAAATAGTGATGGGGAGGTTAAACCAAGATGAAAATTGCAGTTTTCTAACTCCTATTTCTAAAGAACCGAGTGTGAGAGATCTTTACTTTG